GCTGTAGCGGTCGTAACGGTGCCGTAACAGCCGTAACGGCCTGTTACGCACCGTTACGTAATGGTTCCAAACTGTTTCTTTCAAAAAAACACACAAAAAAAAGCTGAAAATGGTGGAAGAGGGATAGAGAGAAGAGGGAAGATAAAGAGAGAAGATGGATGAGCAAGAGATAGAGAGAGAAGAGGGAAGATGAAGAACATGTTATTAATTTGTTGAAACTGTAAGACCTATGCTATTCTATTCAGCTGCTATCACTCGACCATTTTGTTTGTGTGTGTCTAATATTGTTTGATAATAATAATAATAATAATAATAATAATAATAATAATAATAATAATAATAATAATAATAATAATAATAATAATAATAATAATAATAATAATAATAATAATAATAATAATAATAATAATAATAATAATAATAATAATAATAATAATAATAATAATAATAATAATAATAATAATAATAATAATAATAATAATAATAATAATAATAATAATAATAATAATAATAATAATAATAATAATAATAATAATAATAATAATAATAATAATAATAATAATAATAATAATAATAATAATAATAATAATAATAATAATAATAATAATAATAATAATAATAATAATAATAATAATAATAATAATAATAATAATAATAATAATAATAATAATAATAATAATAATAATAATAATAATAATAATAATAATAATAATAATAATAATAATAATAATAATAATAATAATAATAATAATAATAATAATAATAATAATAATAATAATAATAATAATAATAATAATAATAATAATAATAATAATAATAATAATAATAATAATAATAATAATAATAATAATAATAATAATAATAATAATAATAATAATAATAATAATAATAATAATAATAATAATAATAATAATAATAATAATAATAATAATAATAATAATAATAATAATAATAATAATAATAATAATAATAATAATAATAATAATAATAATAATAATAATAATAATAATAATAATAATAATAATAATAATAATAATAATAATAATAATAATAATAATAATAATAATAATAATAATAATAATAATAATAATAATAATAATAATAATAATAATAATAATAATAATAATAATAATAATAATAATAATAATAATAATAATAATAATAATAATAATAATAATAATAATAATAATAATAATAATAATAATAATAATAATAATAATAATAATAATAAATGTGGTCATTAAAATGTAAAAAACTCAGTTTATAGTGATTTAAAAATATAAAATATGTTGGATCATACTTAAAAATTTACAAAAATTGATCAATATTTATTTTAAATCCAATAAATATTATCATGGAAAAAAAATATGCGTATTAGTAAGTTTTTTTTAAATTGTGCTAAAAATAAAGAAATTCACGATTCCGGTTACCGCAACCTTTACGCTACGGCCATTACACCCCGCAACCGCCACCGCGCCACCGCCACCGCCACCGCCACCGCCACTGTTACGGCGACCGCAACCGCTTTTCAAAACCTTGACTATGGGTGTAATTTGCCCTTTATTCAATGTGCTTTTTCAATGGATGTTCCCTATTATGTATCATTTCATGAAATCTTACTTTCTTTGGAATTTGTTGTGGCCAGTGGAAATTTGCTTTTCTTTCACTAGGTCGACCAGAGTATCTTGATGACTCTGACATAGTCTCCAGTCGGTTTCAGGTGTGTACTTCCATATTTATTTCGTATTTCTCTCTTTTTCTTTCTTCGTTCTCTTTGTTAGGTCTTCTTATTTTAAAGATGTGTTGGATAGTTACATAAGTCATCTGTCTGCAGAGAAGAGATGTTTATGGTGCGTGGGAGCAGTATCTGGGATTGGAGCACTCTGACAATTCTCCTAAAAGGGCTTACATCGCTAATCAGGTAAACTGCCGCTACGTGGTTGAGTTTATTGTAGTTTGTTGCCGTGTTACTAGTATTGCGGCCACATCTATTGGTAAATAACATGATCTGAATTAGACATTAGGGGACCAACTTTTGCTTGTGTATCTGGTAATACATCTCATGTCAGATCAAGGGTTTGCCTTCTTTTTTGTTTTTTTTTGTTTTTTCTATTTACACACCTATAAAAGAGCAGATATAAGATCTTTAGTCAAAATTAATGAGTAGTTGAAACTAATTGATTAAGTTCAAAACTTTTTTGTAATTCTTTGAATTTTTTTTTCTCTATGAATTATATATATATATATTAATTACTGTATATGTACTCTTATATATTTCCCACTTTCAACACTAGGAACCTACTTAAAATTATGCAGTCCGTTGAGTGATGCATAGAAGAGATATATACATTGATCTCCATCAACTTGATTTTGATACTGATCCAATTTTGCAGAATCGTCATGCATATGAGAAGCCAGTGAAAATCTATAACTAGGGTGAAGGTAATGGAGTTCTGCATTGCATTTGCTGAACATGGCAATTACCAAAGCCATTTGTTGGCGTACAAATTGGGAAAGTAGCGAACAAAAAAAAATGTTTATGGAAACCACCAACGGAAGCTACTGTTTATATGGAGTGTGCAGGATGTGGTTATCAACTTTGTTAGGTATGTAATTCTTCTGATGTGGATTGGGGGATGATGAGTTTTTCACAAATGTACCGTGTATCTTGTACAGTACAACCCCTCTTAGCTTTGCAACTTCTGTTTGTTCATCAGAGTTCTTCCTTCTGTGGGTGATTGGTTCTTCAGTTTAGTTGTATTCGAGCAGTACATAAAACAAGATTTTGGAGTAGGGAATGTATACAGGGGGTATAGTTGTGGTGTGTGCCTTTTTTCCCTCGTTCATATGTTTGGGAAACGGGGTTGATGGTTTTTACAACTCTTTCTGGGTATATTATTTTGGGATTTTGTATATGTTAAACTTGGTCAGGCACTGCATTTCTGGTTTGGATTATGATTCTAATTCATATATATAGTCAGTGAAAGTGAAAGACGTGTATGTACGGTTTTGTATCCAATGCAACATGTTCCCTTTTAAGATGAATTTGTTTTCTAATAACAAAAGAATGAAGAGGCACTATATGCGAATACTGAAAACGGACACTGAAACACCATGGTATTCGAATAATATACAACTATTATTATGCCCCCGCACTCTGTCAGGCTCATTGATTTGGTATTCAACCTGGGTCTTTTTAGGACAGAGAGATAAGCCAGAATTTGGAACGACTGACTAGTAGCTAATGTGGATTCTTTCCTGTGGGATAGAGTTTGTAGTTGCAGCCCTTTTGGCCTCCCCTCTATCAGCGGGCTCCTCTTCTTTTTGATTGCCAAATATGCGAAGGTTGTATGCGAATGACAGGTTAGCGTTTGGTAGAGTTTTAGAATTTGATTTGAGAATAGAGTATTATTTTTGAATCGTGAGTTTTAAAATTATGATTGAGTTATGAAAATTTTGTTTTCGCTTTGTTTGGAATTCTTGTTTTTGGCTTTTCTTTGGCGTGATTCTGATTTATGTTTTCATTTTTGCCTCAGATGATTCCTTGTCCTGATTGTACTTTTTGTCTTTGTATTAATAGGAATCTTTTTTCGTTGCCGATCAGCGCGCACACAAAAAACAGTAAAACGCGCTTTGCCTCAAAGTTCTTTCCTTTTCTTTTGGATGCTACTAGCATCTCATAAAATAATTTATTTTAGACTTTTTAATTTTTTAATTTTTTTTATTACAATAATAATCTCAAATAAATTATTATAAAGGACAATTATTAATTTTGAAGACATATCATCTCACAATTAAATCTACATACTCACTATATAGATGAATTA